AAAAGGGACAAAGGTTAGTCTTCATTCCGTAGGACAGAAAACTTTGATAGGGAAATGGGACTAAAGATGATAGGACTGGCACAATTTCCACAAAATACCTAGAAATTGTCATCAACATAAAGAGCCTATCGCGAAAAGGCTATTAGAGCAATGGCCGACAAACTGGTAGAAAAATACGCACCAGATGAGTATCGATGGGCCGGTGGAAGTACGTTCCATTATAGTAGTTGCGCATCTCCTCGTATACAAGAAATTGGATAGCTCCGTTGCTCATTCCTACGAGAGACGGCACGAAACCGCGGTACAAGCCTTTTATGCCTTCCATTCGCCACAATGAGACCAAGTTGCCCCAGGTAGTCAGAGTAGGAACTCGTTGAGTAGCTAAGGTTTCATATTGCAGACACATCCTCGTCTTCACTACCCAGATCGGATTTGTCAAGGACAACACAAGACATCCTACAAGAAGGAGAAGAATCTCCAACTAACTAGTGGAAGTTGGAGTTTGAGAAATGTTGAAACAGCGAAAACTGATTGTATATTAGTCGGTCGACAGGATATTAATACGGACTAGGACAAGATGCATAGATGCAGAAGGGAAGACAGCATGAAGTTTGACTGGGACCAAATCACCCTCCCTCTCCAAATTTTATAGGCAGATAAGAAGCCTTTTAACGTCATTTCGAAAAAAGATTTAGCCTCTTAAGAAAAACCTTCTTCAGTAAAACAGACGAGAACCGTCTATATAGACGTCTTTCGAAGCTGATAGAAACTAGTAGAACCAAATAGGCGAATTCTAGGAAGTAGTTCAGAAAATATGACCCCTAGATCGCCTCATCTTCCAGCGATCGCACCTCCTTCCGAACTAACATCAGTCTAACGGATGAGGGCTAAGCGGGGAGTTCTGTTTTGTTAAAATACAGCATGTTTCCTGAAAAGCTGGATAAAAGTCCTTAAGGTAGCGGTGGTGCACGCATTTTCTAAACACTTACCTGAAAGATAAGCGTATCCAAGATATTCCATCTTCTTCAGCTTACGTGAGGGGTCCCCCTCCTGAGCATGGTCCTTCATGGCCCCATAGCTACGAAAGAGAAAAGCACAAATTGCTGTTTTCATGGAAGAAAAAATGGAATTTAGAAGCCAACATCATGTTAGATAAAAAGGGTTAAACGGAAAGGTGATGTATCTGAGGCTACGAACTGGTTTGATTTAGTGGAGGTATATGACTTTATAGATCTTCGACCACCACACGCTTTTACGCACATTCATTAATTTACCAATCGAATTGACAAACCTTCGCACATCAAATGTTTCCTGTACTTTTTGCCATTAAAAAAATTTACATCAACTAAACCGTTAAAATA